GTAAAAGATCCTGTAAAAGTTCTGTAAAGGTTCTGTAACTATCCTGTAAAGGTTCTGTAAAGGTTCTGTAAAAGTTCTGTAAAGATTCTGTAAAAGTTCTGTAAAGGTTCTGTAAAGGTTCTGTAAAAGTTCTGTAAAGGTTCTGTAAAGGTTCTGTAAAAGATCCTGTAAAAGTTCTGTAAAGGTTCTGTAACTATCCTGTAAAGGTTCTGTAAAGGTTCTGTAAAAGTTCTGTAAAGGTTGACCCGGTGGAACCCTGAGCTGTAGGTCCAAACAGAACCACATGGCTACAGGGTTTCAGTTCTGTTGAACAAAGTTCTGGATTAGTTTAAAGTTAAACAGAACTTTTATGATCCTTAAAGTCAGACTCAGGTTCTGAAAGGATCCGCTTCTCTTTTGGTTTTTCCAAAGCAGCAGATATAAATTCTGATTATTATTTTCTAGTATCTTTGTTGTTGTTGTTGTTGTTGTTGTTGTTGTTGTTGTTGTTGTTGTTGTTGTTGTTGTTGTTGTTGTTGTTTTCCACATGTTAAAACTGTTTTCTGTGTGTGGAACACAATAAACTCTGTAAGACATTCGTGATATTTTCAAACTAACGTCTCTCTCCATCTTGTTCTGCTCGTTGACCTGTGACAGACTGAACACAGATCAGTGGTTCTGCTGGACCGAACTCAGGACACAAACCGGAAACTGAATCAACACGAGCGCCCCCTGCTGGCTGCTTGTAAGATCGTTCACTACATGGAAAGCAGCTGTAAAACAAACATGCTTTAATGCTTTTAAACGCTATTTAATGTCTATGATGTAAATAATTAAGACATCAAACACATGCTGACCCGGTTCTGCTCAAACAGAAGCTCGGTTTCCACGGAAACCAGACTAAACTGCAGGACGCCGAGGGGCTCTTATTGTGAAGGCGGAGCGGAAGTGCAGTGTGCATGTGTGAGCTCACTCTTCAGAGAGGAAACAAACAGCGGATCTGGTCAGGCGCTGATCCGCGGCTCCTCTCGCCGGCCCTTGGCTCACAGAAGTCGGCCAAAGACCCGGGGCCGACCTGTGGGGAGGAGCTGCGGAGCCGAACACTCAGAACCGTGAAGAACCGGTACCAGAAGCACAGTTTGGAGGGAAACTTACCGAGTGTGATGATCCGCCTCACCGTGCTGACACACGGAACAACACGGAAGCTGCGAGGCACGCAGCGGAGCGCGCATGCGCACGAACAAGAGGGGCGAGAAGGAGGGCGGAAGAGAAAACATGTTTACCTTTTAAAGAGATTTTATTTATTCAAAAAACAGTTTATT